TGCTCCTTAATATTTTTGTGGAAACTATGATACTATGATTCTTTCCAGTATTCTTTGAAGAATAAAGTTCAAAAGAACAGCATTTCTTTGAAATAGAATTAAAAAAACATTAAGCGTTTTAAAGTATTAGGAGAACAGTCTTAAATAAAAACATTAAGAGTCTTAAAGTCACCCCAAGCTTTATATTACACATAAACTACATTACTGATGCGTGTTTCTTTAAGACTACTGCTGGTGATCTGCAGCTCAGCCAGACTCTGGCACAGCTAAGCAATGATGGAATATGTGGGTAGCGAGAAACCTTTTTGGGTGGTCAGTATTTTGGAAATCTGGAATATAGTTGATAGTTATTAGAGGGAGCTGATGATTCAGGAAAACACTGAAAATCCAACCGTGACTAAGATAACACCACACAGATGTGAAGGAGTTTACAACATCATCAAACTGATATTGTGGCATCACAATGACTATTTTTGACAATCCTGCCCTATGGACTCTTTTCTTCAGGCTGTGTCAGCATAGAGCTCTTTAGTCTCCCAGCCTGGTCATTTATGTCCTCCGGTGACAGAGCGAGCACCCATACATCAGCTTGAGCTGTCTGTGCCTCTGTTGTGACCAGAACGGAGGCGTTTCATTTGTAGGCTGGCCACTGTTTGCTCAAAGGGCAGCCAAGGGAGAAGAGGAGGGGCCAGACCCAACATAGTACACCCTTAACGGGCGTCCTCGCTGCAGCTGTAGCCTCGGGGGATGGCCGAACTGGACCTAAATGTTTATTTTCTGAGGACAAACTTCCAAGAGTAGAGAAGGGCTTATTGTCAGTGTTGGGAACTTATGGATTGACACAATCTTTATTATCTTAGTGGAGTTCTGCTTAAGATTGAGCTTGGCAGGTCTGCGCATCTTACCCATCAAGTGAGGTCTTTATCATATTCATTAATTAAAAGCAACTGCATTGTGGAAGAAAACCTGTTAATCATCAATATACTTATATATATTTGTACGCACACATGCTGCTGTTTAATGTTTTTGTGGAAACCATGATGCATTTTTTTCAGGAATCTTTGATGAGTAAAGTTCAAAAGAACAGCATTTATTTGAATAATAAATCTTTTGTCACTTTTGATCAATTTAATGCGTCCTAGCAGAATAAGAGTATTTCTTCCTTACTTATCTCTTCCATACTTACCCCAAACTTCTATGGTAGTGTATCATGATTTCCACAAAAATATTAAGCAACAAAAACTGTTTTCAACATTGATAATAAAAAATGTTTCTTGATCACCAAATCAGCATATTAGAATGATTTCTGAAGCATCATGTGGCACTGAAGGAGTAATGGCTGCTGAAAATTGAGGAACATTTTTCATTTTAAAATACATTCAAATAGAAAGAATTTATTTTAAATCATAATTATATCTCACAATATTACTGTTTTACTTAATTATTGGATTTTCAATGTTCTTCAGATGCTTGCAGAGGAAGATGTTAAAATGTTATACATTTCCAAAAACACACCCTCATTTTGTTTCAAACTTATGAATTTCTTTCATATTAAGTTCTTTCTTCTGTGGTATACAAAAAAGAGCTTAATATTAGGGACAGTTCCAGTCAACGTTATTTTTTCCCCCCATACAATGATTACAATGACAGGTTTAGATCAGCATGTGGGTGAGTAAATGATGACAGGCTTTTACATTTTGGGGTGAAAATTGTGTGTCCTGTGTGCTGGCCTTACTTGTCATCTATGATGGTAACATGGTTGGATGGGATTCCTAGAACTGCACAGCTGTCAAGCAGTTCCCTTTTGCGCTGGAGTCCTTGATTGTTGTAATTGCCTGAGCATTGCAGAAACATTTTAAGTGCCTCTTTTACATTATACAAGCATCCCAAATACTTGAGCAGAAGTTCACATTTCTTTATTCAATCAGTTCAACACATAAAGTAACTTACAGTATTTGTGCATTATAACAACAAGCATTTGCAAGGTCAAAGTTTTCATTAAAACTGAAAAAAAGATTCAGGTTATGTTATGAATATGATTTATTTACGGAATAGAAAACCTACCTGTCGACAAACATAACAAATAAAGAGCTGCGTGTGATTCAACAAGTTGTAAGACTGTAGGTGCAAAGAACATGCATTCATCATCTGGATGTGCAGTGACTAACAGAGCTCGAGGCTCGCTGGCTGTCACGGGCGGCTTCTCGTCCTCCGAGCTCCGTGAGAACGCGCTGGACCTCACTTGTGTTGGACAAAAACTCGCGTTTCCAACGGTGTATGAAGGGGTGGATATTTTATTCCGTAAGTGTGGCCATAACTGACTATATCTGTAATACACAAACTTAATAGAAATAGTGTAAGCCACAAAGACAAGTATGATGGTAACGAAAACAAACATCTCGACCGCGCCATGAAAGAATCCGTGTGGAACATCGTTTCCCGACCAGTGGTTCCTACAGACCTGAAGAATGTGTTATTGTAGGAGACTTTAATATTATTTCTATTTCCAACCTATATAAAGCATATCATTTTGATGTCTCAAAAAGGCACAATTGCATGACAGAGTTGATCAAATGATCTTTAACAAATATCTTAGTTGGAATCACTTCAAAGGCGGAAGCATATGCAAAACAATACGGGAATCAGTTCTTTTCTAAAAGATGATTTATTTATTTTTTAATAAAACGCCTCTTTCCTGTAATCCTGGTATACAGTAGTAATGTACGGAGACTGAGGTTTGGGTGGGGTGAAGGCCGCCTGTGGGGAGAGTTTGAACGTCACACCGTTTCATCCTGTTTGCTTGAGGGAAAACTCTTTCACTTCGTCTCCTCAGGTGCACCAGAGCAGCACAAAATGCAAGCCACCGGGCATTCAGCAAGAAGACACCGGTACACTTGTGACGCATATTAATTTCTGGCGTAGAATCATATGGAAAGCGACTTGAATTTATATCCACGACTCGGTGAGGACAAATAACTAGCCTGTGTTTGAAGTGTGCTGAGTGTTTACTCTAGTCTCACTGCCGACGACTTACATTGCCGCACGTTTGAATCGCACAGACTCACCTTTCAGCGCTTATTGGAGTGTCTCTAAGGACATGAGGTGAGTGTATTATTTAATGTGAAGATTTTGGCCTCTTTGAGTTGAATTACACGCAGGCTAGTGGGAGCTCAGCGCTTATGTTCAAGATGGCGACGCGGGTTTGAATGCAAAGGTAAAACATTCAGCTAACGGCGCTTTCCCTTTTAGACTCTCTCCCGTCGTATTGTGCACTATATAGTAATAATATAGATGCTCTCCTTTGCGGTTGATTTACATCTCTGCGTAGCCGAGAAATTTAGTTTCCGGTTAAATAGTTTTCCTCCTATGAACTAACGTAACAGCAAGTAGCTTGCTGGCTAACGCCATTAGTGTGAGTTTATACCACAGCCTGTAGTTTACTGCAGAAAATCAGCATTATTAAAGTACGCTCTGTCACTTACACACATGAGCTGCGACTTCTCTTACATGTGGTATCCTTTTATTGCATGTAAATACACCAAATACTCTGTAAATGCATGCTTGAAACCAGAATAACCGAGTGCTGAATGTGAAACCAGATGCAGATGTGTGTCGGTTTTGCTGGCTGGAAATTACATAAAGCTTGGACTTGTGCACCTATATGTTTCACAACTGATGGCCGTTCTTTGCAACAGAGTCTGTTAAGGAGTATTATTGTAATTATCAGCCTTAAAGATTACATATGCAGATTACACATGGCATGCTTGGGAAAAAGTATCTGTTAGACGATTTTTTTAATGCATATCTAAATATTTATATGTGCCCGTCCCCTTTCAATTTTGCACCCCTATACACAATGCATTAAGAGCCTAATTTGTTTTCTCTCACAGTGGGTTCATAATAGGACACACAAAGGGAAAGTACCTTTCAGCATTTTATTTCCAACCACAGACCCCTCATGTCTGGTTAGTGTATGAGTGTGAAACGTACTCTGATGAGATTGAGGGTAGCATGTTTTAGTCACTTTCCAACTTTTGTTGTTCTATTTGTGTGTTAACTTCTGGCATGTCAAAATGCCGATTAGCACACAGAAACCCTTGAATACATTTTCAACATTTTTCAGACCTGTTAATTAGGGTGCAGAGCACATAGACTGCCATTAAAGCAGAAGTTCACAACGAGCATGTTCATAACCGCATTGGGTGAAAAAAAATAAAGTTGTCATTCACACTTACAGCCCAGACTTTGTGCTGTTCTGTTCAAGGTGACAGACCCAGGTCGATTTGCGTTTAGTGTTTTGTGAAGAACTCTAAATTCAAAGATGACTTCCAAAGCAATGCTGGTTGGTCGTTCATCTGGTTGTTAATGATAAAATACCTCTCTCTAGTTTGACCCTGCAGAAGAACCCAGTTTTGTTTGCAGCACTACTTGCAGCTTAATTAGGCTTGCCATCAGGAAAGATACAGTGTGCCTGTAAAGAGAGGGACTGGCTGAGGGACAGTGGAGTGGAACACAGGACGTGTAACTGCTGTGCTGCCGTTACTGTGGTAAAGCATGGCACGGTAATGCTAGTGCGCGAGCAAGC